TAGAATTGAAGGATTTGTTACGTCAAGCGCTCAGGTATCATAATTTTGATCTAGTTGCGCTTCTATGTCATTTTGATTTATGTTGCTAAGTTAACTTTCAAAAAATTCTATGGCTGGCAACAGCATTTTAATTTTTTATGTTGTTTATTTTTATTTCTTTTAGAATTCGTTATTTTTTTATCGAAATGTTTTTTAACCTAACAGAATTCTTTGCCGACTGTTTTCTCTATGAATGAAGAAAATAAATCAAATATTTAACTGTTGGGAAAAGAATCTTATTTAGTTGTAGAAAGTACTTCAGCCAAAATTTGGGAACCACGTAAGAGAATTATAAATATTAGATCAGAAACACATCATTAAAAGGCAGAATGCTTTGGTGTTTTCAAAACAAAGCAAACGTTGCCCCCGGCGGAAAAGAAATACAGCCAAAATTTGGGAGCCACGTAAGAGAATTATATATAATAGATAATGAAACTTCAGGGAAATATATTTTTAGAATTGATTATTTTTATACTTACTTTGTGTTTACTTCCAAACAAACCAAAAATCTATGGATATTCCTGGTGAAATAATAGTTTAACTTGCCTGTTGCGTTTCATCGAATAAAAATAGTACATAACGAGTAGTGATAAACATTTTGAAGCTATCCATCGTCAATTTATACACACTTTCTGATAAGCTATGTAATTCGAATCTTTTCTGGTTATTTTTTCTTACTTCTTGTTATCTAGAATCTGATTAGAATTTTAAAAACAAAAATACATAATCAAATATGCATTATCTGACATGTGACGTGTTAGGCATTGTTTTTGTAAGAACAGCCTTATTAAAAAAAATATAAGGCCGGTGTCCAAAGCACGTAAAAATGTGTATTTCGACGTAGACAATATTTGAGAGCTTACGCAGGAATAAAAAAGAATTATAACCTGCAAAATGTATACAAACATTTAAAACTGGTCCTTTATAAACAACTGCTATTTAACCAACTGCTATTAACCCAAGCACCAACTGCTATTTAAAAGAATAGAAGATAAAATGTTGAATGCCTTTTTTAAAACTCTAGATGAAACATTTGCATTCGAAATTTGAATTTCAAGAAAACAAAACATTATCTCATGGGCGTTATTAATTTTTAATGCATTTTTAGTGTAGGAACTCCATACTTTATTTTCATTTATACCAATCATACCATATATTTCCATAAATACCATAAATACCAAACTACACTTTTTCTAAGCATACTTGTATTCATGGTTGTAATAATTTAAATTATTTAATGATAGTTGACTGATTGCAATCATGATCAATCATACATTAAAATTGCAATTATAATTATTTAATTTTTTTCTTCTTTTTTTCAAGTACGCTGGTTAATAAACATTCAAGATTGCCGAAAAAAGGTTACATTTACAGGATTATTTTTTGCTGCAATCAATCACGCATTGTTCCGCAGTGGACAGACGCGGTCCCCACTAGAACACCGAAGCTAAGCATCCTTCCTATGAGGTGAACCGGGTTCGAATCCCAGCGGTAACTGGTTGATGCGAATTCCGCTCACAGCTCTCACGGACCACAGTACTGACGTAAAATATCCTCAGTTGTAGACGGGTTAGAGTTCCCTTGCCGAGCTAAGCGTTAGAGGTTTTCATGGTTTTCCCCTCCATGTAACACAAATGCGGGTTAATCCATTAAAAAGTCCTTCATAAAAGCAAATTTTTTCCAATACTTGATCCAGGAGTTTCATTGTCTTCTGCATTGTGTTCAAAATTATAAGGCTACGGAGTTGAATGTTAGTCATCGCAAACCCGAAATTGGGTATGCTGTTCAACGACGGTTATAAAATAAATAAAATACCCCACTGTGCAGTACTAGTGCGACGTAAATGAAATATCTACCTACCAATCGTACATTAAGATAACGATTCCAATAAAAAAATTTCATAAAATTCATTTCTTACAATCAACAGTAGTAATGACTAACCAATGAAAGTACAGATGATTATTTGTTATTATCTGAATACACATTTATTGAGCGGGTATAAAAAAGTAAATAATCAATAAATAGGTATTAACCAACTCTACGAAATTGTGCACTAAACTAAAAGACGCATACCGATACAATTAATTAAGCAAAATCAATTCCAATTTTTTTCCTGTTATTATTTGTTGCCCTTTCTGGTAGCTTTATGTTATCAAATTAAACATGTTTTAAGAACTTCATCTCATCGAAATAACGATTAATTACATTTAGCATCATTTGACATGGCGTAATATTTTTTTTCAAGGTCAACTCCTGATAGTTAATAAGTACCACAATCAGCAATTTTTTTTTTTTTTTGGAACTTATCTTTTTTGGTGTGCCATAAAAGCCACTTCCGACGACACAAATAGTAGATATGTTGGTACCAATATTAGTATATTTAGTACTTATTTAAAGTACCAATTGACATAATAATATTGATACCCATTACTAAAATTAATTAAGATTCATTGGCATCAATAATAATAAGGCGATTTTTTTATGGTTTACCCAGATTAATAAGTTCCTTTACTCCATTAATTTACCTTTTAAAAACAGAACTTTTTTCTTATTTCAATTTGTACTTATAACCAAACTTAATTGAGCATCATTGGCGAAAATAACAAAATGCTAGATTTTTACGATTCTAATTTACGAATACCTTTTCCATATCAACTTAGCTTTTTAATATATAGATTATTTTTATTTCTTTTTCTAGTGCCAAAATTAATTGATTTTAATTCATTAAAATTGTTAATATTTTTATAATCATTTTCAGCCAATGAACTAGTATCGGTACTTTTTTCGAAGGATGTAGACAATCGCCAAACTATTACAGACGTTGGCATTAAATACTACTGATATTGACATTATAATTGCAGTGGTGGTGAGAACCTTTTATACCAATTATAGATGTCTAACATGTATGGTAGTTATAGGTTTGTATGGTAGTAATAGGTTTTTTTCCACATTCCGAAATGGGTAAACTCCCTAAAATTACAATGCTACGCTTTCATAGCACCTAATATACAAGCCTTCAATTTTTTTTTTTATTTGTTGCATATTCCGGTGCTGCTTCATGCTATTAGATTTAGAATAATATGAGTTAGAACTTGAACTCAATAAAAAGATTAACTATACTTAAAGTAAAATTTAAAATTTGGCATTCAGAATTTACCCATGGCTTAATAGAAAACTTCAAATTTAATTTATTAGTTCTTGTTGAGTCTCCGTTATTTAAGTTAATAGAAGCATGCTCTTAAAACATATAAAGTATCAATATAAAAAATCACCTGGTTTCATATACCTTTTAAGCTATGAATTAGGCCATGTCATAAAAATAGGTTGCGAAATTATTAATGGTGATTCTATTTGTGATAACATAACAAAGGAAACCAAAGATAAATATTCAATAAAAGCGTGCGATTAAAAAAAAATTGATTGATTAGTAATGCAAGAGGACAAATCACTCATAATCTATGCATGCATATCTATACCTATACTAAAATAAAGAATTTGTGTGTCTGTCCTCGTGTCTATTTACCGGATTGCGGGTTTACCGTTAATTCTAAAAATAGGACGTGTTGATTTTTTTTATTATAGAAATATTTTAAAAAATGGAATTTTCTGATAGGCTTAGCGGGGAAAAAATTATAAATAAATTGATTTAATATAAATTATGGAGGATTTAGTTTTGTCAAATATAAAGTGATATCTGTTGGCTTATGGCCCTGGTCAAAAATATCGTTTATTGTGCGTTCTGTAATACTTGGTGATTTTTTATTCGTTTGGCCAGATTATCTAACTGATTAATGTGATCGTAGTAGGGTAAGCGAACGGCGTCCCGGAAATAGAACGTGTTTATTTTGTTTATAGTTATGCATTTAAAACGCGTTACTATAAAACTGAATAATTTAAAATAGCGTGTATTGAAATAAAAAAGTTAATTTTGTAGGTAGGTAAGTAGATACTTTATTTAAGTCACACTAGAGCTGCACAATAGGCTATTGGCGACGGTCTGGAAAGCATCCGTAAGGATGAGCGGAACAATTTTGATTCTCTACGGAGATGTTTCACTCGTTGGAGTCGGAAGGTATGAAACAGCGGTTGCAAAATAAACAACAACAAAAAAGGGTTAACAGGGAGGTATGTCCCATTCTTACAAATATACAAGCCTTGCGGTGTGATTTCTTACTTGAAATAAGGCAGTTTAACATTTCCTCTGGCAATTGGTCAGAATTGTCCTGTGGCAATTTCAAACCTTCCGATTCCAATTATGCACGATCATGCGTTTGTATTACAATTGTTTAGTGGTAATTTGTTTTGCGGTGTATGAATGTATGAACATGTCAAATTTTATTAAAATCTGTCCAGAGTAGTTCCAGAGATAATCGACCAAGTCTGCAAATTCTCGAAGTTTCCTACACCAGTGTAATTAAATTGCGGTGCTATTTATCTATGAAGTAATCTTTTCAAGGGTAAAAATACAACCATTCCTACATTATTGAAAATAATACTGAATTACAGCCAGTTTATAACTGAAGACCAGCCGATCACTGGTCTAGTGGTTATTGTACTAGATCAGTGATCCTAGTGGTTACTGTACTAGACCAGGACTACGAGGGCAGTGGTTATAGGTTCAAATATCACCACAGGCATGGATGTAACTTTCTCTCTCTATGTGTTCTATGTCTTTTCTTCTGCGTGAATGTGTGAATGTAACCCGTCTTATAAGCTGGCTGATGGTTGTATGCCGTGGGCGACGCTTCCCCACTGGTGCCCACTGGGTAACAATAAGAAAACAAAAACTCTGGCATTTCTGGAGCCAATGGGAAATAAACCCAAGTGCCATCCATTAAAAAAAATAAAATAAAATAACTCAAGACAAATTCAATTTTATTGAAAATTTCAATCGATGCATGACACAGAGAAACACTCCTTTTACGAAAAGGGAAGCAAGAAATATAGAAATTTCTTTGCATATCGAACATATCGAACATCCACTCTTTCTACATCATTTCTTTTTAATGGCCACAGTACTCTTTCATCACATTTCATAATAGCTTCTCTCGCTCCTTCCCACGGATGTGGTCCTTGTAGTCTGTACTGATAGGGGACACTAGGACCGAATATTAGTTTGAATAAGAGCTGCGGATCTGTAAATAACATTTTGTAAAAATTCGGCTTAGCGCCTATTTGTTCAGCAATCTCGTCTTGAAACTGTGTGTAGTCGACGCGGACTTCTTGTTTACTGCAGGGTGCATATCTTTGCTCGTTGATTTCAAGCCTTTTCTTGATATCATCCATCATTGTTTCTTTCGAAGGTAGTTTTACATTCCCTGCAAACACTTGCGCCGCCCATCTACATTGCATTTCTACCAATGGAAAAGATGCACCAAATGGTAAAAAGAATCCCACGAAGGCCATTGTGGAATGCTTTAAATCAGGAGACCATGTGCATTTGTACAAAGTAAGCTGGTTTTCCATATTTGTACGGATGTCTTCTTCAAGAAAAGGAAACTTCCATGTGTAGCCAGTAGCCATTATGACTACATCGGCTTCAGTGACGGACGATTCGCCTTCAAAGAGGACCCCATTCTCGGTGAATTTTGATATGTCTCGTTTTTGAATGATAGAGCCAGAGAGCAATTTTGATGCAAGA